ATTATTAAATATTAATCGTGGTTTAAATCGATTTCGTGATGTTTTACCTTGTAAAGATTTTATTTGAAAAAAATTATTTTAGAAAAATAGTAATTATTTTTTATTTAATTAGATGATGATACACGTGTTCCTTTAACACGAGGTTCAAATGATTACATCAATGCAAGTTATGTTGAAGTACCTGCTGCTCATCGAAAATATATTCTTACACAAGTAAATTTTTCATTGATTGAGATTTTCATCGATCTTTTTTCTTTTTGAACAATTAGGGACCACTTCAAGCAACATCAAGTCATTTTTGGCAAATGATTTGGGAACAAAATAGTCGTGTTATTGTTATGTTAACTCGTTTAATAGAAAAAGGATGTGTAAGTATTTTACCATTTGTGTAATCACAAGAATAAACTGCTCATAAATATTATATCACATGCATAGAAGATTTGATCTGATGCCTGAATTTTCTGCCCTTAGAAATGACAGAATTTAGGAACGAATGAAACCAAAAATAAAAATTTATTAACCATCAGGGAAAATGCTGACTTCAGATTTAGCATAAATCTTTCAATCGGCTCTTTGATTCATCGAACCTTTCCAATCCTGACAACCTCGGGGCACTTCTCATTAAAGCCCTCACCAGAATAAGTAAGATGGAAGTCATCAATTGCATTGAATAGTTTTATTGTTAGTAAATAAATTTTTCACATCTGTCCTATCAATAAAAAGTCAACAAAATTATTCTTTAGTTGAATTCAATCAAACAAGAATTCAGATCTGATTTGATTTCTTCCGATGTAGAGATGAGCATGAACGGTCTTTCTTTGATGTTGATCGGAAACAGATCCAACTCCAGTGGAGATATCAGCAAAATATTTGTCCACATTGTTTTTCAAATTATTCTAGAAGATGTTCTATGGGTTTGAGTCACTTTGCTGTTACATTACAACTTATTTAATCGCAAATATCCTCCAATAATACTAAGATTACAATTAGCTGTTTCCACACATTTTAAAATAAGTCCAATGTTCGTAAATCTTTACTATTTTTAACAATCTTAAAAAATATACATTGTTCATATTTTCGATTTTCAACATATAGGTTTTGAAATTTTTTTTTTTTTTTTGGTACATTTTTCTTTTAGACAAAATGTTGGTTATATTATCCAGATTATCAAACTGAAAGTGAAATTACATTTGACGATGTAGATTTGAAAGTAACATTCGTATCCGATAGACAATATCGATATTATACTCAAAGAAAATTTGAATTAATAAATCTTTTAGTAAATAAAAATAATTTTTTTGCTTTTGATTTTTAATAAGAATTTTCTATAAGACTGGTGAATCTCGTTCAATAATTCATTGGTCAGATTTTGATTGGCCCGATCATGGTGCTCCAAATAATCCAGGACCATTTTTGCAATTACTTAGTGATGTTCGTCACTGTGGTGCATTTGATCCTCGTTATGGTCCACTTGTTCTTCACTGTAGTGCTGGTAAAATCTTTTTTTCTTGTGTTTATATCAAACAAAAAAGTTTCTTTTTAATATCTTCAGGTATTGGTCGATCGGGTACATTTGTACTAGTTGATTCCATTTTAAAACTGGTAAAAATAAATAAAAAATAATTTTTAGAAAAAAACGAAATCTTTATTTTTAGCTTGCTCATACAGACAAACCTGATGATGTATCGTTAATTGATGTTCTCGCTCATATTCGAACACAACGTCATGGACTTATTCAAACAGTAGAACAATTGAGGTAAATAATTTTCTTAGGAAAAAAAATCAAAAAATTTATTTTCTTAAAAACAATAAATGATAGGTTTTCGTATCTTGCTACTGTTGCTGGTTTGAAAATCCTCAATGAAATTGAAGAAAATGAAGGACCATTTATCGAATGTGATTTTAATTTATCTAGTGACAGTGAAAATGATGATAATGATGATGCTGGTGAAAAGAACTTTAATGGTAAAAAATATCCAAAAGTATGTGGAAGACAAGATAATGTAATGCCAAATGGTCGTTTAAGTGAACCACTTGAAGATATCAATTGTGAATTAATAAAAAGAGTTGATTCAGATTTAAGTAGTTGTCAAACTTCACCAAACACAACACATCGGTTACAATCATTATTAGGATCACGGTTATCATCCGAAGATTCAAAGGATTATTCTCCAACAACAGCAATTCTTACACCGTACGAATTTTCTTTTAAGATCGATGAAGAAAAAAGTTTTTTTTTTTTTCTCATGTAGACATGATGTGGAAACATCTCTTCGTCTTCGTCAGGAACGTTTAACACGTAATGAAGCTATCGAGAAAAAAGTTAATGAAATGAAAACAAAATTACATCAACAATCTTCTTCTATGTTGATAACAAATAATGAACCATCATTGTTTAGAATCGTGACAACACATTATCGTCGTCCTTTATTTATTGGTATATTGACCTTATTTACTGGTTCATTAATGTTATATAAATATGTTTCTAGTAATGATCATAATCATTGAATCTGTCTTGCCATTTTTCTTGATTTTGTTCATTGTTTATATCAAAAATGGAAAGCAACTTAAATGATAGTATTTTGTTGTTTTTAAGCTTATCTATGTGAATTTGAACCAGTGACATGTGCACATACAAATACATATCCATTTTGCAATAGTCATTTGTCTTTTTATTTCTATTTTTTTCTCTTAATTATATACATACATATATAACTAATATTATCGGTTATTTTATCGTTTTTTTAATCGTTATAAGCTATTTCTTTTGTCTCATTTACACGTTCTTTTTTTTCTTGGAAATGAATAATAAAAACCTTCAGTAAGAATTTCATTTTTAATGACTTGGATTAAAAATAAGTAAAAAGATAAGGCTTATAATATCCAATCTTCGTAGGTAGTCACTCATCCAAGTATTTATTGAATTTTTCATTGTTTCACTTTAGTGATCGGCTGAGAACTGATATATTCGATGTGTTGTGACCATAATGGAAACATTGATTTTGTTCTTTGTCCTTAGATGTGAGAATCATATTCAAGATTTCCTGAATTGATGGTATGTAAGAAAGATAATGTGATCAAGAGCGATTCTCAAGATAATTAGAAATTGGCTCATTATGCTTTTTAGCATTGTTTCTTCATGAAACTTATATTATCACTACTGTTCATTTGTAACGCAAAAAAAACTATTATAGAATTACTTATGAAATATTTTCAAAATTTTAAGATTTAAACAAAAGATTAAGTATATAACAGCAAAACTTCACCACTTAGTCTGCCTCACAGACGTGTGACGGATGTGGAAACACGGTATTTTGGATGTTTCCACTATGGGTTTTGGGTTATAAATTAATTTTTCGATGCTAATCGGTTTTTTACATGCTTGAGTAATTCAAAATCCTGAAATGCAAAAACAAAACTGAATTTTTTTCTTATGGTCTCGTTGTGTGAATCTAATCACAGCACATGACATACATTTCCACGTGCCGTACGTTAAAATCTATTGAGGATCACAATTCATATATAGAATTTCCTTGTAAAATCGTGCTTCATGATTTAATCACATAAGGATTGAACTGCAAGTTTTTTTTCCTATAAATTAAGCTACTGTACAAAAGAGTCATTGTGAACATAGAAAGATAAGAGTCCGTTTTGATCAATTCACTTGATAGAAGCATAAAGAATATTTTTTTCTTTTCATTTAGTCTGTTTACTTGTAAATCTCAATAATTATATGTAAGTTCAATTTTTCTTGATATGATAGTTGGCCACTAAATAGGTTATTGGCTATGTTCTGACTACATTCTGCATAACTGTATTACTCTGAGAATTCATTTTCGGTCGGCATCGTTGGTACAGTTCAATATAATAATACTTGCAAGAATCAATATGAGTATAGGACAAGAAAGAGATGTATTCCAGTCGACAAAATGCCTAATGGATCATATAATGAAAGCATTTCAGAATCTTTATCACCTTACAGAACTACGCATTAGTATGCTTGCTCACATGAAGTACCGATGGAACACAACACCAAAGACCATGATGTTCGAAATAATTTGCTCCCAAGGTGAAAAACCAAAATGCTTTTTTCATTTGTCTCATCGCATTTCTCTTCGATACTCATGCGTAAGAAATCAATGACCAGAACTATAGTAAGTAGGAAATTATGTCATTATCGCAAGGATTATTAAGTATTTTCGTAGGTTCGACTTAAAGAGATTGTTTTCTAGTACGATTGAAAACTGAATTAATGATAAAAATCGGCTTGTTGCTTCATCGCTTTACAGCTGCTTAGTAATATATTCTTCGGTTTGCTTTGAATTCATATACGTGTCTATTTCTATATTCATTCATAAGTCAGGTGTGTATATCTTTCTTATCTTTTGTATGGATTGTGGCCCCAAGTGTATACATCGTTAGTATATCTTCATACTCAATGAAGAGTTGCATGTCACACATATGCAATATAATAGGTTCTTCTGTTGTCAAGATAAGAACAGGAGCGGTCTTCTTCACAGGCGTGATTGCGCACGATCTTCATTACTACGACTTTCTTCATACTTTGGAATCGTCGCAAGTTCAATATCCATCAATTAGTTCGGTATAAAAAGTCGTTTGAATGATGAGACGCACTGGAGCGGTCAATTGATGAAAGTTTGATAAAACGAGCTCAGCGTGATGAAGATGTAAAAATCTTTTCTCACAATAGATTTTTATCAAATGAAAAACGTATATCATTGAAAGATACATGTTAATCTATTTGACATGCTATTGTAAATGTTTTCTGATTGAAATAGAAACAAGAAGTCACATATCATAATGTAGATAGCATGATATAATTAATATCGTTTTTCATTTTATGATTATGTTAAGTAATCACTTAGCGAAAATAAAAGTTTTTCACAAAACAAGAAATCTGCCTTTTTTTCATAGAATTGAAGATGAATAAAAAGTATTCTTCTTTTGTCATAAATATAATTATTATATTGATTTCTATTATGCCTTCTGTTATGACATTTAAATGCCGACTTTATGGAATAGATCAATCCTCCATTGAAAGGAAATTTGTTGAAATAGCTAATTCATCTTCATACGATTATATTTTAAATTTGGGTGGTTCAGTATTCTCTGGTACGGCCACATCAACAAACATGGGTAACCAAAAATATGTTAGTACGTATCATACTTTCGACAGTTTGGGTGTACCACATTTTTTTCTGTTAATCATTGATATTCATTTAAAATCGATTCAACTAAACTTAACGTTACATGAACAACGTGATTCTGGATCATTTTGGCAAGTAGCAGCAATGAATAACAATGAAATTATTGGTATAAGAGAAAGTTTTCATGCTGGATCAACTTTAGAAGTAGCTAGAATTAATCAGACAAATGGTTTCATGGAAACTATAGGAACCTATCCATATGGCTCATATAGTATCGTTATGGTTTATGCACCAAAACGTCGATTATATTATAATGTTATTGAGTCAACATTGTATGCTGTAAATATTGATACAGGTGAATTAGATATAAATATTCAAATACCAAATGATTATACAATATACGGAATTGATTATGATTTTGTCAATGATCGTTTAATAGCTCTGATTTATTCGTCATCCATTACGAATGGTTGGATTTTGACACAAATAATAATAACAACAAAAAACGAATTAAAATTTGATCGTATTGGTGAAACAATAATCCCATTTGAAAAGTACTCCTGGACAACAACATATACAATAAATTCAAATGAACGTTTTTGGATGACATTATGGAGTTCAAAAGATTCAAAAAAAAGCATTTTTATCGTATTGAATATTGATAATGGAGAAATCATGGAAAAATGGGAAACAAATAAAACTGATCTTAGTAATTTAGTTTGCTTTGATTAAAAGTATAATTCATATCTAACTCTGAAATATTAATTAAGTATAGAATTCTTTTTAAAAACACTGTCAAGAACAATTAGACACAAAAAAAGATTCATTATTCTTTGTTGAAATGTTTTCTGATATTTTGACGCCAATAAATATTTATCGAAATAAATATAATCAAAAATATCTAGATGTTTCTTATTAGCATGAAATAGGAAGTCTTCACTTGGATCAAATGGTCAAAAAATACCTATTTCATTTCTAAATGAGGAAATCATCGACAAAAAATATTGAACATTTGTGTTGGTTGATCGATAACATAAATTACATATGCTTTCCTGAAACATCTCTGCACTGAAGTTCAATAATGAATTTCTCTATATTGCAAATGCAAGAAAAGAAAGACGCGGAATGGAACTAGTCCGATCTGACCAATCGCCTTTTGAACATCCTCACAACGCTTTTTCATAGCATAATCTTATGCGTATATAGATAGTTGATAAATATTTTTCGGTGATTTTCTTCAATTTAGCATAAAGCTTCAGAAGCTTTGTTGTTAACAATGTCCTCCATCAACAATCTGTTCTTTTCTGACTTTCTCATACTGATATATCGAGCGACACAATACGATATCGCAGCTGCATCTCGGTGGATGTTCTACGAGTAGAAGATTTTCTTTTAATAAAAAAACTTGACAACTTCGAAACGTCAATCTCGACGGTAGAGATGTCCTGAAAAGTAGTGAAATTAGTGTAATAAGATCACGCAATTCCTTTTGTCAACACCTTTTGTATTCCAAAAACAAACTCGTAATGTACCTTCAGTTGTGATTGTCTCGGTTGAAGTTTGTATACCATGTTCAATCTGGGCTGATGTTGGGATATCAAGATGAGCAATTGCGTTGATTGACCAATTCTGGATTTTTCGAACACACAAATATCGATCGGAGGTAAACGCTCGAGAACTATTTTGTTAAATTATTCCCTTTGGTGATTTAAAGTTAGAAACTGTAGATGTTGATAATGAATCCATTATTATGCATGAATCAAGCTATGTATTCAAGTGAAAATTTTCAGTTTCTATTTCCGTGGTTGATAGGAGCATAAATGTTGAAAATAATATGTAATATTTCCATCTATTCAGTATTCTACAAAGCCAAATAATACGAAAAGAGGTATGAGAAACGAGTAAAATGCTGTACAGCACTCACAACAAAGCCATCCACTTTGACCATGGATCGTTTAAAAAGCTAATATATTCTGAGCAATCCCAAGTCGATTAGTAAACTAACAATGAATGGAAAATAATTTGATGACCCTCCTGAACTGAAAGCCAGTTCTTGTTGATGTTGGCGTTGTCGCCGAGTAAAACTAGGAGAATGTGAATGTTGTTGAGGTTATGAATATTTTTCTTAGGTATCCACTTCCGCATCGTTGTTAGAGCAAGGCTAGTTGAAGAAAAAAAAACAAGTAGAAATTCTGATTCATTCATCTCACAATCATCTGATCAAACTCTATTTCAAAAAATATCTTTAGTTTTGGAAAATTATCCTTCCTTAGTGGAAAATCCGACTCAAAAATATAGTCTTATTCACTCTCTAAGATCAATTCTGCCACATCGGTGTTACGTTGAGGTGTGATATATGGTAAATTTTGTGTGACACATCACGAGCCTTGGATTCAGGTCCAGTTTTCGCCGATCTTCATATTTTTCGTATCGAAAAAACTAATTGTTCATATTTTAGTTGCATCTAGAGAAGTCTATTCATCGACGGAAAAACTAAACGATCTTGGAATTTAGTCATTTTCAAGTTGATTCTATATCGATCATCAAACATTCAATGAATTTTTTAGAATAAAAACAACAACAAAAATATATGAATAATGTATTTAACTAAATTAATTATATATAAATGAAAGCGCAAAACTCAGCAATGAGTCAATACTTGGTAAATATTTGACGGCATATTCTACAAACCAACACCTTTAAATTATGATATTTCATAGTTGAAGAAACTGATATATATTCACTAACAGTACATTTTATTTTAATGTGTATTATTAGTAACTGTTATTGATAACTTGTCTTCTATAATCTGCAACATCCTCCATAAATTAATATTTTGTTATTGATTGTATTGTGAAAAGTTCATCGATTAAGAATAAAAACTGTTGAAATGTGTCAATATTGATGTGATTCTCAAACTAATATTCGCATACCCTCTTTCCTTCTTATTCTTTCTCTCGATTGTAATTTGCTACCCTAATCTCTCTCTCTCTCTTCAATATTCGCTAGTGTGGTGTATAAGATGGAAACAGCGAATAGCTCAGTAAAGATCATTACTGAGAGTGAAGGTAAAGTTAATCATCAAGTCTGTTATTATAAAAAGAAAGTTGTTATATTGTCTTTTGATACATTTGCAAAAGCTACAGTCATCTATTGAAGTCAACGTTAATGCATCGAATCAGTTTTTTTTTTATTTTCTTCTGAACATGAACTTTGAAAATTCGATTAGCATTAGTAAAAACAAGATTCTTGGATTTAATGAAATTTTAGCGTAAGTTTGGAGATGTTTGTTTGGTAAACTAAGTTTCGAACCAGTCCATATTTGAAAGTTATTTATATATCGATAATATCTAATAAATTCAATGCTGGCTCTACTAAAATAACAAATATTTGTTGTTCAGAATGACTATGTTCATGCGGATCGTTTCGATGACAACATTGTAAATTAATCATTTCACTTATAATTTGATGCTCTGTTTGTTCTAAAGGAAGCTCGACCAGTTTAATTAAATCATCTTGTGTTTTATTCATTAATCTTGGTAAAGTATTTATATTGAATAGATTTAAATTTTTGAATATATATTGATAAACTTGATGTTCTTGTTTGGCACGTATTTGCCATATATAATTTGATCTGGTAGTTTGTTGTAAATCATAAAGGTTTGGTAAATTATTATGAGACATACAATTTAGAAAGCGAGGATTATATGTTACTTTCCATACGATTGAGATTGGATCATTATCAACATTGATAATTTGATAATTTTGTTGTTTAGCTTGATCAACCGTAACAATCATTCCATGTGCTCTTCCATTTTCACGCATAAATAATTCAATTTCATCAAAATTTAATTGAATAAAATCTTCAAAATCATTTATATTTAAATTTTCATGTTCAATGTCTTTGTTGAAAATTTGTGATAAATCTAAATCACCTTCAATATTATCTAGTGGAGAATAATCAAATTTAAGAATTTTATCATTAATATGAGTAAAAAACCAATGATAAATATCCAATTTTGTTGTTAATGAAGACGATGAACGAACAAGAAAATCAACAAGTGATGTATCAGACCAACCAACACTGATTAACCATATGGTTGATGATGTAGACATTCTTTCTTTATTCAGAGATGAATATTTTACAAAGATAAGCAATTTCTTGTTGATTGTGCAATAACTTTAGCTTTTCATCAGAACATAAAAAAGAAGAATTTTTCTATTAAAAAAAAATGATGAATCACATATAAAAGCAATGAGCAGTACCTTTAATAAAATATTTTCTATCATATGAACGTTGAATATTCATTCAACTAAACCAGAGGGTATTTCTAATGAGGAAAGAATCTATCCGAAATTTTCCTCGCTTTTCGATGACACTGATTTATTTGCTTATAGATACGATATAATATGATACTGGAAATCTTGAAAAGATATGGGTTCTTCTTTCAAAACTTATGAATATTTTGATTGTCTCGATAGTGTATAGTATAAAACAGACTCCATAGAAGTATTAACATACGATGCAAAGCAAAAAAATTCTTTTTTTAATATTCTAGTTCTTTTCAGTGACCAGTTATAGAATTCATTTTTTTGAAGAAAAATGTTGTCAGAATGATTTCATTGCATTGTTTTTATAACATTCGAAAATACGAAAATGCGACGATTTTCTCCTGTTATCTTGCTCTAATCTTTTCACATCATGAGAGACTCGATGTAGTCTTATCAGAACAGAGACAAAACGAACAAAAGAAAAGTTGCGAAATAGAATTTGCTGTATGCATCATGTATTGGGATAAATATTTATGATGAAGTGTCCTCTATTTCATGCATAATTATTTGATATCTATTATCGAGCTTCATCTGACTTACATAATGATCTGACGACATCTGTATATGAGAAAAAAGTGATTATATGTTGGAAACAAAATATACTGTTTGCATTTCTACTCACTGGTAAACTCTGTTGGTAACACATATTTTCCTCAGTGCAGAACGAAATATTTATTCAGCTAGGTAAAATGATGTCTTGTGAGAATTGCATAAGCATTAGAGTAATGAGTACGGATAAGAATGACGTTATGGATTATGTGTACACTTATCCATGGATTGTATTGTGATGAAACAAGTGCGTGCCTTGGATGAAGCATTGCAATTGTTGAATAGATTGAATAGTAATCTGATATAGGGCGCCAATATTCTTGAATATGTATGAGTGAAAGAAGCTGTCGTGGTTGTGCTTATTTTGAACGCGTCAAAAATACTATTCCTGACTATTTCTTGGCCAGCTACATAACAAGATTTTTGTGTCAGAATTTGCTTCAGTGAGGTACAATAGATTGTATGGGCCTGACAAGTTTTAGAATCATATGAAAATAGTTTCGCTAAAAGTTATTTGTTGATGTCTGATGCCCATCACTCCGTCCCGTTTATTGAGACTTCAGTCAAACTTGAAACTCAGACAAACGTCAATGGTACCGAAATGAACACGTACACATGGTTTTTTTCAGTGCCGATCTCCGATATGAATACTATCAAATGGATATTGACTTGTGTCGTCAATTATCGTAATCTATTCTATATACTAGTGGCATTTCCAATCGAACAACAAGCGGAGATCATCAGTCGATCTTATAGAATTAATGAAACCAATTTTCAAAATTTGTACAACACTCTAAACATCTATCGAAAATTGATTCTGTTCGATACATTAATAGAAGAAATCGAACGATTATAAGCTGAAGTTCTACTTTTATCAACCATAATTAATCGAGTTGAATCGTCAATAGCTCGATACATTTAATCAACTTCGAACAAAAAACGAGCGATAACTACGATCAAATCACGAAAGGCAAAACGTATTCGAAAGAAGCCATAAAAATCACTCGGTCAGATCTGTTCGATAGTATCTTCAAGTATCCCTACATATTATCGAATATTATCTGTCTAATAACAAAACAAGTGTCTCGCTCCTTAATTATGTTGTTACTACAATTCGTCATACACGTGTCGAGCTAAGCGAAATATGCAAAGATCGCTCATACTTAAGCGATTGATCTTTGACGTTCCTGTTTTATTTTAAATAATAACTCTGTTTGACATGCTATTCTGTCTGTTCTCCTTCACAGAAGTGCGCATGTATCTTAATCTGAAGAATGCAATAAAATGATCATGTTAGTCGCGTTGTAATCTGAAAAAATCGACTTTCAACGGAAAAAATAACCAAGTTAGAAAGCATTGTTCCTAGTGTGCTCTTGTCTCCATTCTCAAAAAGATATTTTTCATGCGATGTAGGCATCTTCCAACGTTTGCTATCTAGACATATAGGGCTGTCTCGTATGAGACTCACTAATTGCCATTGTTGGCTTTCTTTCCGAAGAAAAAAACTAACTTTTTTCCTCTTTGATTGTGGACTTCGACGCGGCATCGTATTTTACCTTCAAAAAATTACATGCATCAACGCTCAGTCGAATCAAACTCTGTTTTTTTTAGTGCAAACAATAGTTCACATTGTTTGAGAAACAATAGGTGAATCCATGGGGTTTTCAGCATATCTCGAAAAAAAGAATGGATCAATCATGTTTGTAGGAGTTTATCTTTTTCAAGATTTTGAAATTTTAACTAGACGTAACGTTGTTGAAACGTGCAGTAAAAGTGAAAAAAGCGTTTTAATGCTATGCCAAATGTGAATATCTATCGTATATTTTTTGGAAACTCTCGCCTTACACACTAGTATTTCGAATAGCTTCAAGACGAAAATGTAGTAAGTCAGATTGAAAATCAATCGCAATGAAATAACACTGCTTTGATTGCCATCGTTAGTCGAAGCAATGCGATAAATATCGGCAAGAAGAATGATTTCGCTACGAAATCGACAGCAACATAATTGATTGATCGTGTTGTTTTTACTTTGATTGGTACTTAAAAACTTAATTTATGGTTCAAATTTCGAAGTAAACGGCTCAAATTAATACTCATTTTAGCTTGTTTCGTAAGAGCTGTCTCACATATCTGTAAGCGAAGGTTTTCCTAAAGAATGGGTTAAATATTGAAATATATAAGATCAAGAAGCGTTTTCTTTTCTTGATCTGAGAGTATTCTCGACCATGGCACATTCAACTATATGTGAGAGATCGAAAAAGAAGCTCACTGTACTTCCAGAAAACTAGTAGTTTTCCCATAGACTTACTTAACAGATTTTGATGGCGACTCTTCTGAAACATATCAGCATCTGTCTCATAGATCTCAACCAACCACTCAATTGAATGGTCAACCTTCAGTTAAGAATCAATCAAGACTATGAAGATCAAGTACTGTTGAAAGATAAGTAGAACAATTTATTGTTTTATGTAAATTGAACAGTATGATTTTAAAGACAATTCAAAATAATCATGATGCGGATGTTACCGCTCATTCAAGACGTCTTTGATATTTTTGAGCCGAATCTATATATTAGTTATGTTTCGGCCGCGATGTAGAGCGCGAGATTTACTTTGGATTTGTTGACTTCAATTGCGACTTTTTATTTGACGCAGTGTTCGTACTAATAGCATGAGGGAAAGAATCTAGCCCTAGTTGTTTAGCGCTATTCTGGCTAGTCTCTTTCGCTGATGAAGGCCTCACCGATAATTTTGGTAGAGCTGCTACAGTATTTTCTTTCGTAGAGTCCTTTTTTTCGCAGAAACGCTTGTCTGTCGTTGAAGATAATGTGGTTTCAAGTAATTGTTGAGATGAAGGAGCTAATTTCGGTTCCTGTTTTGGCGTTGAGTGCGCAACCAATTCACTCTTCGGTGGTGAAGTAACAATGATGTCTGGAAGGGATTTAGTAGTGGGCGATGAAGTATCATCTGATTGCCACCGCTGTCCTTCATAAGTGATCCACTTGCTCAAACAGCTAATAAAGTCGAAGGCATACAAATGTTCTACCCATTTGTCAGGTAGATTTTTGAAACCATAGAGAGCGCCAGCCAATTGACCATAAATAGCGGCGGTAGTGTCCGTATCATCGCCAAGATTGACAGCATTGAGAGCACCTGTTTCGAAAGAGTCCCCATCGGACCAAAGGGCCCACAAAGCGGCTTCCAGAGCGTTAACAATGTATCCTTTGCCTCGAATACCGCCGTCATAACCCTTGTTTTTCTTGTACGATCCTTCAGCAATCTTCTTAATCTCTCGAGTAAGTGGCTTGTTGTTGAACCATTGTTCATGCTTAGAGTAAAATTTGTTATCCAGTAATGTTTTTTTGGTCTCTCCTTTAAGAGCAGCCACTATCAGAGCACCATAATACCGACAAGCATCATATGCTTTGCGATCACCATGAGTAATAACACCACTAATACCAGAAAACTCAACGGCTTGAACAGGATCTCTATGGAAGAATAGAGGTACGGGCGCCAATCGCATTAGGGCCCCATTGCCCGCTACCCCCTCCTCACTGCAATACACATCGAATTGGTCCAGTAAATGAGGGTCAGAAAGATGGTCTAAATGCTTGAGAGGAATTTCATGGGTATCGGCAAATCGTCGTTGGCGACGTTCGAATTCGTGCAACGACTGACTGGTGGCTGCGCCGATATCGAAGCATTGCCCAGTAGAAGACATGTAACCATATTTGTACCACCATTTGTACCGAACTAGTTGATCGTAGGGAATAAAATCACGATAAACCACCAATGAACTTGCCAGACAAAGAGCCATAGAGGTGTCATCGGTGAACTAAACACATATTTATTAGAAAAGATTCCGTTGTCTATGCTTAATGCTTCTTGGAAGTACACTTTTGGTAAACAGTAAGTCAAACAGTAACTGTAGATCAAAGTAGTGTTTTCTTTATTTCTTACTTCCATTTCCAAAAACTGCTTAAATAAATCCACCTTTCGAAATAGGACAGAAATAAAACGGAATCATAGTCAAAGCTACTTAGACACTCATTAGTATATTTGTAGACCATATGAACTTCAGAATGTTACTTGAGGGTGTGAGTGTGGGTTTGGACATACATACGCGCACCCATTTTTTTGAGTTTTGTTTTATGTATATTTTTTTCGGGTTAAGGTATATTTGTTCTTTTACTAATAGTTTATTGTACTTCTTTTTTCTCGAATATTTTAAATTACCGATTATTCAAGACAGGAGTTCTGATATTTGAAGAAAAAAATCATGAACTAGATTGGTTTTAAACTAGCTGAAAAATTTACTATATGCTTGGCTGAGTCGCAAATAAAATGTATCGTGTTTGTCCTGCTATATGTCCTATCGTGCCGTTCGACAGGATGAAGACCAGCTGCATGACAGGATAGCACAGAACAGAAAAAATTGTCCTGTGTTAATTTCTGATTGACATTACTTTTAGAATCGGCACTAATCGATAGAATAAATTATAAATACCAACTGTTAGAAACATTGAAGACCAACGTTCCGGCCTAATACTAGCAACACTTATACGAGGATCTCTGATTGAACAGATTCCAGTAAAGCTTTTGAAACTTTGTCCGAACAGACTCTGAATTTAGTCGAAGGAAATGAGTGTAGGCGTGAGTGTGCGTAGCTGTGGATGTGGGTGCGGATTTGGGTGTGGTTGTTCATTATTCTTTCCTGCAGACTTCTTCTACGCACCCATTCCTATACCTACCCCAATACCGAGGTCCATATCCAAACCCTATAGCCCTGTACACAGTCACAAGGACATCTTCATTCATGTTTCACGTTAGATTCTCACAGAGATCGTAGTCAAATCATATTACCTGTCCTTTTTTCAGACCCCATGTCCCTCCAGCTACAAGGTCTCGCACTGGATGCTCAATAAGATATTGTCGAGGGCGGAATTCGACATGAGCACCAAGTGCATCACCCAAGGCCATACCAACCATAGATCCTTGAACACGATCTAATATAGCATCATCGACATCTACGGGGGGATCATTCATTATAGTTTGTAGATTTTCCGGAGTCATAATCGATTGTTTATCACCAACATGATACCGACAATCCAGCCAAGGTTTCTCTAAAAACAAAGGAATATTTTCGTTCGAAAATGTGGATATTTACTTTAAGAGGTGTACAGAAAATTAAAATTTTCTTCTTTCTCCCTTTATGTTTTCCAAACTTATATGACTTTCGTAATTTTCACCCTTTAATACTTTTAGATCTTTTATTACGTCCACCACCTTAGGGCCACTACTGTTGATGGAAAAATGCTTTTTCTATTAAAAGTTTTTGAAATGAATGATTGTGTTCTGAAGCAAAAGAACAGCGCTTATAACATAAAAAATGAAATATAAATAGGTGAAGAAACCTAAATCAGTGTGAATGTAGGCACGAGATATGTTAGTAGCAGGTAGTTGTGAGAGTGAGTGTGAAAGTCTGATTTTTCTCTTCAGTCGATTCCACACGCACACAGACACGTGAGCAACCTCGCGCAAAGTTACTCTCACACTCACACCGACGCAATGAATTTAATGTAATGACGAGATAAGATAAAAAAAAGGCACAAACCGACGTCCAGTTGCTTTGACTGTAGTTTTCAAGGAGATTATATAAAATCAATAATCTACACTGATTATGTGTAAGACAAACTGGGAAAGAGAATGGATTTTTGAGGCGTCGAAAAGTTAATCACGAATTATTTTGTCAGATTGAATTGAAAAGTACCCAAGACGATGTGTGCGTCAAAAACGTTAGCATTCTGTTTCGTTTCGATTTGCAGAATGTGCTCTCAAAAAATATATAATTCAAAACAAAAATGGTCTCACTATCTAGTTTCGCTGGCCGCATTTGCGTAGCTGATCGAATTGTATTTGTAGTAGAGTCTTGACTCATTGAAGGTTTCTTAACTGTCGACGATAAAGTACCAATGGGAAATGTCAGAAGAGCATTTTTAGACGGTTCTTCTTGCATCTGAATCACGTATACCCCGTTTTCTGGTTCGAATTTGTTCTTCAAAATCAAACGTGTACCAGGCATAAGAAGAACTTCATTTTCGTCTGGACAATCAGAGTAATTGCTGATACTTATGCCAGTATTACATTCAATCTCGAATATAGTTCGCTCGGATGATCCACCGAGAAATTTTTTCAGTACGTCTTTGGACGTTGTACAAGAACTAAAACCCAACCAGGTACAGTCTTGCTGGTATTGATCACTGATGTTACCTTGACAACCACGATAGATTTTGCCTTCAAATGGTGTTAATTTGCATAGAGCAGAAAGAAATAGCTTGATATAGGAGGACCAAGGATCTGTTTGTTTTGACACTCCTGAGCGAAGTGCTCGATTCAATTGAATGGAGAGACTTGTATCCGATTTCTTTGACTTGATGGTATACAGATGGATAGCAACTGCTTCGTCTTGGGTAAGATTGGTTAATTGATCGAAAGAATTTTTCTTTGCCAGTTGTACCATTTTGTCAAGATTGTTTACCAAACGTTTTAAAGTTTTGGTAGCCTCTTCAATTGGTACTAATGCCTGTTTTTCATAACTTTTTATGGCTATTGAGTTTGCTACAGGTTCTTCATTAGCATCAAGAAAGCGATCACTTGTAGTCTTAGTGGCCATACGAACGTTTCGTCTAAACCGAAGTAAAACGGCTATACTCTGGTTACCTTTTTCAATTTCAACTAATGTGTGCTGCTTGTGCTTTTATTGTTGCGCCAGTAGAAGAATAAAATAGAAAGAGTAATTATAGACGTTGATGAAAGAAAGAGAAATAAGAACAGTTAACTGCTCGACCGCTGTAAGATATCTTCGTAGCTAGGTGACAAAAATTTGTATTTTACTTTCAACCAGGTGTGTCACTTTTCAACTTGTTCTGCTCATAGTGTATTTGTCTTTCGGCTCGAAGAATCATAAAACAGCACTTGAGTTTTTTCTCATTTTTGAATTCAGACAACAAATGCAAGCAGCCTTTGAAAGGATTTATCTCTCCACTTTACCTCCTTCGTGTGGCAATGACTAGTCTATGGTTCTGCAAGTAATGATAGTGGGTCACGAATTGCGTATTAACAACCATAAAACACTCGATAAAACATTGACGACAAAACAACCAAAAAAAAGACAAACAACAACAAAAGAATCGTGCTCCTTTCTTTTTATCTCATATTTGTGCACTATATTCTGTGAGTTATGTCTCATTTACATCGAACTGACTGCAACCAATTATTTAGTTTAATTCTACATGAGGTTGCATTATTAAGCAGCCAGTAAATATATAGTTGAAGATAGAATAGAAGGTACGCGGAATGAATCTCATGATAGGAACAAAACGGACCTCGATTATAACGAGTTTCCTCACTTGAACAAACGATATCATGTCCATTCAGCGCAAAATACAGAGCGAAATAGATAATAGCGAAAGTGTATTTTATCGAATGTCCGTAACAGCGAAAAATAAAATTGCGACAACCAAAGTAACGAAAAGCAACATGGCGAAAGGTTTTTCAGCGAGTTTCTTTTCCTTGACAAGCTTCAATTGCTTATGTTTCATGGTGGCTCATTGTCGTCAAGTGATAGCACTTATTCGTTCTGATTTTTCCGAAGAACTGATCTGGTTTTTTTCCGATATATATTTGTCTGCATCCAAAATTGACTCGTGGATACGTACTTTGTTTATTTATCTGCATTTCAGATAACCAAATATGGTTGCCTCAACACCAATCTCTACTATCAATCCAAATCAAGTAGGATGTGTATGTAGGTGTGGGTATTGAACGTTTATCTTCTTCTGATTTTCAGATACTCCAACTACTACAACAACATCCACACTCACCCTCTGGTGACAAAACATGTACAAACCTTTTAGTACTGTCTTTAGTTTGGGTTTTATCGGGCAAGAAGAAAAACAGATACAGTGACAAAACTATCCAATATTCCCTCTGAGATTTAGAGACCGTAATAAAATAGAAGAAGACTGAAGCAAACATTAGAACGCAATATAGCTTGACATTGAAAAAAATTCTGAAACGAAGTGAACAATTGATATAATCCGCATGAGAAGTGCTGAGATGACCGATGACAATGAAAAGCAATAATTAAGGAATGAAAGTTTTCTTGAAGAGTTCAGAATTATATGGCTTCACGTTTGTCAAAATTCTCTGCAGCAGATTAAAGATTGAATTCTGTCATTTTGTCTAGCTGATCATCCTAGTGTACCATGCGATATGCGAATGAGGAAATTATTGATAATGTCACTACATTATGGCTAAAACCTTGTATTATCGCGTAAGCATTACTTCAAGAGTGCGAATAATTGCTATAGTGATGTTGTATTGGATATAAGAATAACAGTCAATCCTGCATCTATAAAACGAAGTTTTCGGTGGAAGACCAGCTGAAAGAGGAGTGATTTATGCAGTGGAGTTTCTGTTATTTATAGGTCATTTTGCACATTATTTTCTTCTTCTTGTTAAGACATTACGGTTTGATAGGTTTCAAAAAAAGTAACTAGTTCATTAGAAACGCGCATTCACCGTAAAGTTGCAATCGGATATAGTCAAATGAGATGGTGGGTAGACAGATGACTAATGTTGTTACATGAATTTTTGCAGGTGAGTCTATATCTTTACGCAGTGCACATCTCAATCTACATGCATTCTTGCCGACACAACCAGACTCGCAGCCGCACCGTCAACTAATACTTCAGTCCAACACAGTTATACCTTCACTGACACTCAGATCAGCATTCATCTATACACGGCATGCGTTTTCAAACATATTACTATAGAAAGACCTTACATAAAATGGAAGATAACCTTCAAACTAAGGTGATTTTAATATCGATGTAACTCATGATTCAAATAAACTTATATCAATCAAGCGAGAATGTTGTGCAATCACAGATGATGATACGAACATCTTCCGAATTTAGAGAAATTGTCCGAAGTGTGGCTTGCTTTGTCTTGAACAAAGAAAAAAAAAGCTTTTTTAAAGGGAAAAATATGAAGTTGTGAATTCTTTAACGAGAAGACAAGGTTCTGTGAAAAAATGTGGCGGAAAGGACATGTAGTAAACTAGTGGAACTTGTAATTGATTGTGATGGCACTAAATAGTACAGTCGCGTCTTTCTTCATTCGCTATTATGATGAAAACGATCTTTTTCTGTCATTGTGAGTTTCATGCATATGTCATGTGCTTTTAATTGATTTTTTTCGAAGTGGTCAAGTGTTGTTTTTGCTTTCTTTCGGATAGTCATTCATCAGCAGTGCTGCTAAAATTGACTGAGGTACTTGAAATGGAGCATCAGATATCTCGTCAATCCATCTCAGATGAATTGTATAGACCGATACCTACGAATAGAAGAAAATCTTCTGAGTGTAGCTGTATGTACAATAGACACGTGCTCTTTTGTGCGTATACCGATTAACATTTAGATTATACCCACACCCCAACGTACCATTAGTATAATTATTAGTCCCAAGCTCATATCAATGAGTGTGATCATCTGTCAGGAAAAAGTTTAAAGAAAAATAGCAGTTGGGTACGCATTCAATGTTTTCTTGTGTGCTTTTTTTCGAGAAATATCTTATGATGTTTTTCTGAAAAGAAGTACGTTCTCAGATCCAGATTGATTACTTGACAGAACAAACCTCGACGAGAATATCTGAAGATATATTTTCTTTAATTATGATTGTACTTTTTTTTTTGTTACAAGCGCTTGTTAGTTTCTAGAAGAATGGGCAAAAACAAAGAGACCATATGATTAATACACAACGGAATTTTACTGCATATGTACTTATATTTTATATATGACCCACGAAAATGTGTACTGCGCCAATTAAATCGTTTAAAGATGGAAATGTTTTTTTTTGTATAGAGAACCTAAAGAACTCTTTTCAGATTATGCTGAACGAGAACATCGAGGTGAATTTAAAATATCTGTTCTAAAAAGAAACGCATTTTCCCATAGACTGTTCTTTCCTATTAGCTGCTTTTAAAGATTTTTCTAATCCGAAGCTGATGCATTGCTATGATGAGAGAAGCAAAATATTATCCATACTGAAAGTAAATATTATTATGGACATAAGTACTAAAAAATCAATAAGTTAGAGGAATTTATTTTTTATAAAATCTATTTTCATAGAAGCAGTCTTCCAAATGTCTTCTGCCTTCATTGTCCAAGGGGCTCTTCTAATGTATCAAAGGCTTTACTCAATATGATTTGAATTGAAGTCAAAGTGAGATTTTGTCATTCGTTTCTATCTATGTCACTTTCTATATTTTACCTTTTCATAGTTTCCATCAAGCACATAAAATGAATCGAGTATACGATTGTTCTGCTCTCCAAACCTTGGTTTTGAGAAAAGCGAAATTGCGTTGTTTGTTTGTGAAAAAATTAGCTTTTTTCTTGGTTTTCTTTTGATACAGGAGAACATGTATTCCTTATTCCTCTCTAAATTCGATCATTAGATGAAGGTCACTCTAGACCATACGAGAATGAAAAAAAAACACTGATCATCTGAGAATAATAGATTGAAAAAGAAGGAGATTCCTTGCAACAATTTATTAATTTTTGATTTTGAATATTTTCAATTGTCTGATATTTGAAACTAAGTTCTTTTGTCACGAATGGAATGTCCTTGAAATATAACTATAATACTTGTTGCTGATATGAAAGTACCTGCGAAAAGTACATATTTATTTGCTTTGTATTTAGAAATGAATAAAAACAATTTAAGTAACTACATTTAAGTCTGTTCTTCGCATAGTAAGGCATGATTTTTCAATTTAGTCCTTTGCATGATAAATATTCGGATAGAATTGCAAGAAAAAGAACGAAAGAAATAAAGAAAATCTTTTGTGATCCTTCCAAATAAATAGAGAGCAAATCAGTCAATAGACATTCTAAATTTTAGTGCACAATCAATTTTTAAACTGCCTTTCGATCACAGAGTAAGTAACTTTCTCCAAACGATTCATTGTCACCAATCTATTGACATGAAGCGCGACTAAAATCGTTGAAATTTGAATGTAATTACTGTATTGAATAGCTGGTTTATTTTTTTCGTAGGAATAACTTCATGCTAATATGGAATATTCAGCAGTGTTAACCTTTCGCGAAAGACTTGACAAAAGGTTATGATCCAGAGTTTCAAAGGACAGATTACTAATTGTGAGCATATTCACCATGAAAAGAAAAAGCTCCAAAGAATGAAAGATTTAGACGTTTTTCAATGTACTAACATTATATTAATGTAAAGTCTTATTCAAATAACCAAGGACATGATTTGTTTTCATATATATATATATCATTGTAAAGTTCTTTTTACATATTTTGCCTTGAAAAATGGTAGATATTTCGAATTCGTAGTTTGATCGATTCTCTTGAACCTTCTATACATACGTCAAACCTGCGAAAATTTACATAAAAAATGACATAACTCTCTGCCTGCTAGAATTATCTATCTAAAAGAGTGCCGTGTAGTGTTATAGTGAGCGATAATAAGTATTTGACATTTCATTGGTGACATTTAGCACAGCTTTAGACAGATAATTGAACAAAAAATTTCTCAATTGATGCCTATAGACTAGGAAGAAAATTCTGTTGGGTCATTCCTTTTCCTGATTTCCGCATTATCAATTGAACATTTATGCTAAACAATTTGAAAAGCATTCCTTTTTTTTAAATTTTGTATTAGAAAAAATGATTCGAGCGCCGATCGTTATTTCGTCGATAATCTGGTTATTTGTTGCAACTTGTACTATTCATTGTTGGCCATTGCCAAGAAACGTGTGCAATTCTCCTTTTGCTTTACGAGATAGTTCGAAACCAACAACTGTTGTCGGTAATGGTCAGCCTGGTTCATGTAATCAAAACAGTCTTTCAGCTGCACTTCTCAAGGGTGGTATTATTACATTTAATTGTGGTGGACAACCAGTAGAGATTGCTATCAATACTGAATTACAAGTATCAAAAGATAATGATACTGTTATTGATGGAGCAGGTATCGTGACATTGAATGGATTAGGTATTACTCGTATATTGAAATTTGATCGTGGAGATTTTCGATATTCAACACCAACATTAACTATTCAACGTCTTCGATTCATCAATGGTCGTTGTCAAGATTCCGATGGTGGATGTGCTATTCTACAGAAAAATGGTGGAACTACGATTGTTGTTAGTTCTAGCTTTGAGAACAATATTGGCCCCACGGTTGGACAAGATGTTGCCGGTGGTGCTATATGGACTTTAGGGGGAGGTGATACTACCATAGTCGGAAGTGTTTTTCAACAAAATAAATGTTCCAATGGTGGAGCACTTGGAATTCTTGGTAGTGGATTGTACATTTACAATAGTCATTTTCAAAACAATCAGGCTACTGGTAATGGGGGAAATCCAGGTAATGGTGGTAATGGTGGTGCAATCAGCTTCGATGGAAGAGGAAGAAATAATACGATATGTGGAACAAGATTCACCGGAAATCAAGCGAATAAATATGGTGGTGCATTCTTTCGTGTATCATATAATGGAGGTGAACAAAACAACTTCGATGTAGTGTTGGTAGATAGTAATTTCATTTCAAAAGATGGAAATGGACTAGCAGGTGGATTATATATTCAAGGTGGAAGTGCATCCATTCTCAATACTGTCATTGCTAATAATTCAGCTGATGGTGCCGGTGGATTATTTTTGGCCAATGAGAAATCTGTAACATTGAATAAAGTCAATTTTTTGGATAACAAAGCATATACCGGTCTCGGTGCTGCAGTATTCTGTTCCAGCCCTGTATCGGGTACATTTTCTGGTCTAACTGTGGCTAATAATAATGCTGGCGCATTCGGTGCAGCATTTGCCTTTTGTAGTACATCAGTAACACTTTCAAATTCAATCATTGCCAATAATACTGTAGGTAATCCTTGGCCAGCCAATGCATGTACAAGTATGATGAACGATGGAACAGGTGTAATCCAATCACCGAACAGCAAACAAAGTCCAGCGAATGGAGCAGATGCTCCTTGTACGAATGGATCTGTAAAAGTGGAAAATAATATTTCGGTAGAACTGCATAAAACATCATGGACAATTCAGGCCATCGGTGCACAAGTTGTCTATTCAGGCCCAACAGTGGTTCCTGGATTATAAACTGAAAATGTTAGCCTAAATTTTTCGATTCAAGTAACAGCGCTTACTTTTTATCTCCATTATAAACTATCAATCTGAAGTTTAACATCTTTACTTGAATTTGTAATTCATCAAAGTTAATATTTTATGAAGATTAATTTTACTAATTTCTAAGCCGAACTAAACTATACGCTCAAAAGAAAGACACACCAATTTTCATTGAGATGCTATTAACGGAAACTACATTCAAGCAAAGCAAGAGTGTAATTCGAACTCAGTCCAGGTCAACAAATCAGATCTAACGTCTTCTAAGATCAAATGACTTTGTACAAAAAATTTTAGTCTTAGAAACCTCACACTAAATCATACTACAAGATTCTTGAAAGATCTTATGTACCGTTGGATTGTTTGGTTTCGGTGATGACACGAGCGCGAAAAGAGAATTGCCCGTGACGTTGATTGCAAATATTACAGGCTGTGATCAAACTATGATTTGTTATGTGTGATAGGACCGTCTACGTCTTAGTTCGTATTTAGTGTGATGAATGTGACGGGGCATGGGTAGTTAGTTGAATATATGGGTACTAGCATCACTTTATTGTGCGAAGATGTAGATTTCGGTTTGGGCTACGAGGGGGCGCATGTGTGGATTTTGCATAGAGTGCTTGTAGATCTTATATGAGCTTGATTACAAATGCATATGTGAGTTGGATATCTTACATGGAAATATTGCTAAGTGTTCGAGCGCTTTTCAGTTAGATCTTTCGGTATCTTGTAGACCTTAATGAATTATGTCTACCATAAAAACAGTTCGTGTCCATGGCTTATTCTTGCGGAGATCAAACGCTTTTACTGTTAGTGTCCGGCTTTGTAGGAAATGATTTCTGTTACAAATGGTACCAATTCTTGCATTTTCAGGATATTATTCAATTTTTTAAGCATTCAGATCATTGCAATTGGTTTGAAACAAAACTGTTCTCAATTCTGTCAGTTCTAAATTGTTTTTCATGAATTGCCGAACCAGATACTTATGTTGAAAAATTACGAATAAATTTAAGCTTTCCGAAAACTTTGCCTCAAATATTAGCCTGACAGAATTAGTAAAGGATACTTTACAGCAAATTCAGATAAAGCATCTATTCAAGACTTCATCTCACCATGTTCTCTACCTGTTTTAATCGTAGTTGTCGTTTGTGTACTTTATCAAGAGTAATTGAATCTTGCAATTGACTGTCAAGGCTTTCTCGAACACGCAGCTTCATGGTAATTTTATTGGAAACTTCGCTGATCACTTGTTCGAAATCGCCACCAGTTAGTGCCATCGAATTCGATTCAACATGAATATTCCAATAAGTTGTTCAATGGTAATCTCCACTTGTCACTCGACCGTCTTCTTAGGATGAAGAAAATAGTGTATTTCGAAGTTTGACGGATAACACTGCTCAACAATCGATGAGCGCAGATGCTCACAGATATTTTGGTTTGTTGTATATGTAACGAACTGAATTAATTGAAGGAGAAGGGTATGTAAATGTCATTCACCAACGACCATGTGAATTTGTCGATGCTTGTATGTGTGAAGATTAAGTATTGTTTCATATAGGCTTGACTAGTTTGGACGAGACGAGGAGCATAAAGCTCGACAGAAAGACTCAATTCGACGTGTCCAGTTAGTATGTTCTCATGGCATTCGCAATTCAACAGATCGATCCAGAGAAACAGGGTAAAAAAGATATCGGTTGGCTTGCATTGTTTCGATAGAGAATTACTTCACCATCTTCATATTTGATGTGACCAATGGTACTTATACGCATTTCTACTTGATGTGCAACGATACCATCAGAAGAGATCAATGACGAGTATTGAGATAGAATTTGAGTTAGCACAACAAAGATTATGAAAGTTAAAATTTCAATGAATAGACATCTGTGAGTATTTTTCAGCTCGTGGCGACGTACATTTACATGTTCAAATACAAGCAACCTAATAGATATATGCAAATTAGGTTTACCGAATATAACCAATAAATTAGGTGCATAAACTTATATAATAACTCTACGTCAACATATAGTTATGTCGAAGTGATAGAAAATCATTTACATATATCACACAATCTTTCGATTAAGACTAAACAATTTTACGCTTATTTTCAAATACATTTTGGAGAATAACAGTTTATTCAAAAAATATTCTCCTCCATATCAAGTATGACACTCGATATTTTTTAGAATCATTTTGCAGGTGCTCTTCAAAACAAATCAGACTTAGATACATTTATTCAAAGAGTAAACAATAGAAGTCGTTGTCCAAAAAAGCTGACGAGTCAAAAAACTGATTAAACTAACACACTCTTCTCTTATAATTCATTGAATATCGATTCAGTGTCGATTTGTTGAGCGATATACGTAATGAATTCACAAATTTGATTGCTTTATTTGAAGCAGTTAGAATGAATTGGTGAAGAGCAAACCAACAGCCACATTCTCAAATATGAGCCTATGAAATGATAGCATCTTCAGCTCGTCTACCATAATTTTGTTTGAAAATATCAATTCTAGTAGCTCTAACTACACTGCTATCTGAGATCGACGAATACGGAGTTCGCACACGTCTGTAAACGACCGTGCTTGTTTGATCTAGGATTTCTATATTAATTTGGTCTGGCGGCATGCATCCATAGTGGAGATTCTATTGTACTATTGAACAACAGGGTTTGTAAAGAAAATTGAGCTAATGCCGAAACAAGTCCGATATTTTGGAGTTTTCACACGAGTGTGAACTCATAGAATCTCTGGTTGAATTTTTGGGACTATTATGACCTAAAGAACATTTTTAATACTCTATCAGAGCATGTTTGAAGTAGTTTATTATATCTTGGAATAAATGAAATCATTCATCTTCTCTGAGGTTTATGAAAAATAATATTTTTTTTTGTTTTCTTCGATGCTTCAGAATATGATGCTTTTGCTATAATTCATTTATAGTAATATTTTATTGAGCTGAAATTTAAGGCATGGTTGTAACCTAATCAGGGTTATCAATAACCCAAAATTTATTGATTATAGAAACATGCTTTCAACAATGGCAATATTTTTTTAATGAAGAGCAGTTAAATGGAAAAGTTTGGCACAACAGCTGTAGATGAACCACATTTAAAATTTTTTGTTATTGAACAACCAGGATTGGTTGTAGTAGAAAATTCCTAAAGATCATCGAAAAAGAGCCTATCAATTATAAGCTCAATACAAAACTAATCATGTTAGCTTACGTAGGCACCAACAGTTGGTGTCGTCTTCGATCGTTGTTTTCCATTGAAATCATAAGCAACATGGTGATTTTCTAAATATGCACCGGCCTTGATCAATAGAGAGCCTGTGGCTGGATAGAAATTAAAATTATTAACATCAGCAAAGACATTGTTTTCAACAGTGAATATTCCATTGGATTGAATTCCTGACGCACCAATAGGACCATTCACGGCATTATTATAAATTGGATAGCCTAGTGCAATTGAAAAGTTTCGGTTAAGAGAGTGAAAACATTATGTAAGTGACTAGATATATTCACCAGCTAGATTAGTGGCGGATGTAATTGATTTTTGATTTCCACAATATAGTACATTATTTGCAATTAGAATGTTATTATTTGTTAAACCATTCAAACGCAGACATGCATCTGCTTGTGACATGTAAACAGTATTTTGATTTATAGTTACATTTCGAATATAACCGACAACGGGATAGATCGAATTCTGAATCACGCCAATGCCAGCCAGATCTGGCTAGACAAATAAATTATAGTCTGTTTAAAAAGGCCGTGCGTGTGACTGTTTTTTGAATAACTCGAGAAAGCAAACAGCTAGAGATCTGCGATTTTCACCAATCGAAAGAGAAGGAGTTAGGGCGTCTTTCTCTCTGATAATGCGTCAGACGAAATTCTTTTAAAACTGATCATCTTTGAAAAATATAGAAAAGAATGCATGAAAGTGACATACTATACACATGAAGTTTCGATTATGACCTTTGATTTAGATAGAGGAACTTCAGACCTATAGTTCAAGATGCAACCAAAATGACTCTCTAATTGCATTCTAACGTTGACCAAATGAAATCGTGTATTTACATGCACAAATAATAAGGAATTTTTGCTGATGTTTTACTACCTTTTTGCATTTTTTGCCATAACAGCTGAAAACTTCGATGAAAATGTAATGAAACGTAAGAAAGTGTATTATGTTTTGAACTATAGGTCTGAAGTCCCTCTATCTAAATCAAAGGTCATAATCGAAACCTCAAGTGTATTGTATGTCACTTTCATGCATTCTTTTCTATATTTTTCAAAGATGGTCAGTTTTAAAAGAATTTAGTCCGACACATTATCAAAGAGAAAGACGCCCTAACTCCTCCTCTTTCGATTAGTGAAAACCGCAGATCTCTAGCTGTTTGCTTTCTCGAGTTATTCAAAAAAAGGTCACACGCACGGACTTTTTAAACAGACTATAATATCTATTATAGTTTATACTACTTCGCGATGAACATCATGTATTTCAATGCTCCAAAGGAAGCATACAATTAGGTTTTGATATAGATACTACTTCGTGATTATCGGTCGTTTTCGCAATTGATTGATTTTGACATTTATCTGAAGGTAATGGAAGATTATTTCTCAGAAAAAAATGCTCTATTGTTTTTCTGTGCCTTTGTAAAAATGGAAAACCTGATCGCTCGACTATACAATAGCAATTAAAGTTTTTGAGTAGTACACACGGCTAGGATTCAACGGTATAAGTTGTAAATCATACTTACTAGCGTTAATGACAATATTATTCGTAATTGTTGCTCCTGATGTACATTGTATGCCGAGATCAGCTGTGCCAGCATTGATTGCCAAATTACCAATAATCAAATTTCGTCCACGATTATAGTCATCATAAACAACAATGCATGGTCCAACAACTTTGTAACAAGCATTGTTACGAATTATTACATTGTATGAACCACTCTACAAAACATAACAAAGTTTCAAAGAAAAGGGAGACACAAAACAAATTCACAAATTTACTTTAACTTGAAATGCAGCTCTTGCACCTCCTTGTGAGCCGGGTGTATCATGACAATAATTGTGTTCTAGAAGCGAATCTCGTACACGACATGCGTCATTCACACAACCGAAATAAACACATTCGCCCGTTGTGGCACCTTATTTTTTTCAAATAATTTCAAACGATAGATCTTATATATAATATTGATAGTATACTCACCGAGAGCATTCGTGTTTTTGATTTCACTGTTTCGCAGTGTAATATTGAAGTATTCATTTCCTGCATCGTTGGCTGAGAATGCTGTACCCGTTGTGTCGTAAATATAAATATCATCAAATATCGCATTCGAGGTAGCTATATGTCAATAAAGAAACAAAACATTGAAACATATTAAAAATATTTCATATGCTCACTAGCCGGTCCTAAGCGTATGCCTCTTGAACCTCGGGTAAATGACAAATGTTTCAACATAAAATTTGAACCTTGAATATTGAGAATATTTTGAACATTTGCACCAGCTTGTGGACTCTGAATGATTGGACGTGCTTCATTTGATGCACCTTGAATGATGATTGGTTGTGTTAATTGACCGTTCAATGTCAGTTGAAAATATCCAGAGCCCGCTGTCGTATAAGTACCTTGATGAATCGTGACGATATCACCGGCTTTCAAATTACTAAGAATGGATTGCCAGTTCGACGTTGAACTGGTAATATCATACACGGTACTTTCCGTGTAATAGATAGTAGTACAAAGAATGATGAAGGTTATAATTGACATGAGCTTGTCTAAAATATTCGTGCAAAGTAAATATTGAAGTCTACATTGAATTTGTTTCTATGAATGCAGTTTACTTTGGATATATGTACGTATGACTCGAACGTTCAATTTGCCGTTTTAATTTTATTTACGAACTTATCAATGAAAAAATTTTTAATCAATATCTCATGGGAAGCATTTCTGTCGTGGTTCATCAAGAGTGTCAAAGAAAATGTGACTCCATCTCAATTGCAATCGCCTATGCCAACAAATGAGAATGAAAGATTTTAGGCCGAAATAATCGATTCTTATCGAACCCGTTTTTGAAATAGCTATGCTACTAAGTACCAATCAAAATCAGTAATATTTGGAATGTGAAAGTTGATGACTGACAAAAAAGCCTTTCCATATGCTTGATGATTGGTTTCAATATCAAAAATCAATTGTTTTTGGAAAACCGTGATTAAAACTCAGATTAACTCAATAGAAATAACTTCAAGCCTTCATATTATATTACAGATATTATAGTTGCTGTGTAGAATATTATGGCTTAAGTCATTAAAAAGTACTTTTCAGCCATGAATAGTTCACACTGAAAGGACGTGCGTCAGGACAATAACGATTATTGGCCTATGCTATTTCTCTGACTTGAGAGTGTGATTGTAAGTTTGGTGTGGGCGTGAGTGAAGAGATGTCCTTCACTCACACAATCGTGCACAAACACTCACACGTTCTAATTGGACCGAGTTTGAGAATGCCTTGTGTGCTAATTACCGATTCATGCATGTAACAGGAAAGATAGATCAAGAAATGCGTCACTCAGAAGAGTTAGACCGACATCCATCTCTCGTTACTCGCTGGAACGATATGATTCAAAAAATTTCCTTTGTTCACTAGAAGAAGATCTATTGATTATTGATCTCTTTTTGTTAGAGTCTCACAGAAAATGAAAACTACTGTGTAGATATTCTTTTGTAAACTTGTATTAAATGAAGTAATTGTTCTTCATAATCAAATAGTGATTGAAAACTTACTACAATTAGGGAAAGTCTACTAGGTTTACTTCATCTTGTGTTTCAGCTAGATCTCTAAAAATCATGTACCCAAAAACATAGACGTATTTTGCATTAGGATGCCTACTAGATCAACATAGAATTTCATTTCACTTTGAGATATTCAAACTAATTGCAGATGGTGCTCCAATACTCAATGGCACATCCACACTGTTAAATGTTCATCGTAACCCAGCTGCTTATCTGAAGAATATTTTTTCTTGCTATTTAAGCTTATCTTACTCTTCTACGTGTACAAATGATGTTTCGATTTTATATGTTACGTAACTATGGCTCTCTATCACTGTGACATGAAATACGCTACTTATGATTCTATTGACTAATATGGCGTCAGAAGTAAAAAAAATGGTTCAATTTGGATAGGTGTCATATGACTTTACAGTCAAACCTATGATGAATGCATGTGACTACGATTGAATAGATAAATAAGGTTTGTGCATGTGGATGTCGGAAACTTCATTACAACCACAGACACTGGCGTTCAGTGAATCAGTACATACACTGACACTGGCGTTCAGTGAATCAGTACATACACTGACACTGGCGTTCACTGAATCAGTACATACACTGACACTGACTGCTTCGGTTGCAGTGTCTGCACCGACATGGTGTTCACTGAATCAGTGCATACACTGACACTGATTGCACTGGTTCCACTGTCTGCACCGACATTGATGTTCACTGAGCCAGTACATACACTGACACTGACTGCACTTGTTGCACTGACGCACACTGGAACACTGACGTACTGATACTGATTTCCATTGACTAGAATTTATACACAGAAGACGACGACATCTTCTACCTGTAATATGCGGATGAACAAAAAAATTTCATTGAATGGAAGCATATCTGCTCAATAGTTTGGTTTCTTGGTGGAGATAAGCTACATACACTTTCCCGTACATACACTTTTTCACCACTGCATAAAAAAACTACACTTAGCCTCTGCAATACAAAAGAGGCATTCATTATCAATGTATTTCAGACACTTGTATAGCTCACATTTGAAGGAAGGGGAAAAAAAACAAAATAAAAAATTCTTTTCTGGAATAGTTTGAATATCAATATGACATGATTCAACTTTTGTCATAAATGAGAAAATATTTTAGATAAAATTAATATAAAGCGTCTTGTATGAAACAATTTTATAAAATATGCCTCGAATTAAATACTATTAGATTGGATTCTAACATGTGAATAAGTGATGACATCATCAACGTTTATTATTAAAAAATAAAGATACATAAGATCTTAATCATTAAAAAACAAAGATAAACAAATTGCTTATTTTTCAGCATTAAAAAATTTATTTAGGATATCTGCTCTTATTCTCTAACAATGCATTTTTTTCTTCACTATCGTTTTTTATTTTTAAGAAACAAATAATAATGAATTAGCTTTCTTAACAAAGATTAATTGAAAGTGTTTTCATCACTTTATTTCCATTCTGAAAAATTTATTCTTTTTAATCAACTAAAAGTTAATAATATTTTTAATTCGTGCAAAATTTACTTCATCCGGAAACAATTATTTCTATTAGTAAGAAAAAAAGAAGTAATTAAAGACATCTTTCCGACATGGTTAGTATTATTTTCCTTTTGCTTTTCGATTTTCACCTACTTCGAATGATATAAAACTGAACCGTCAATATATTGTAGAGACAAAATCTAGATATGCATGCATTTTTAAGGTAGCTCTTTTCTTCTTGTGTCTCGAGAAAACGGATTTATTTTTCAATATCTTGGACAAATGTATCGCTATTGAAAACTTTACATGATTAATAAGCTTACAAATGAAAAGACTTAATAGTTTAAACGTAACAACAACTTCTTGTTTTATTCTAAACATAAATATTCATCTCATATTTGCCCGCAAATAGTGTTTCATATGAAGTTTTCTTTCTATCATCAACCGTCATCGACATTGAAAGAAAAGAAAAAATTGAAAGAAGCAACATGTGGACAACTATATTAAGATAAGAAAATTCATTCATCTAGTTCAATGGAGAAAGAAGCAAACGTTAAAAGAAAAGCTCACTTTGAGGGAGGGGGCTCAGAAAACTCAATTTGTCGGAGACGAGTCGAGGTTGAAGTCTTATCGTAGTAAGATGCACCGACGTCTCCTCTTTCATAATATCTATAGTTTATCGTAAAATGAATTGATTTTGACGAATTTATCGTCTAAAATTTGGCTTCTACTATCAAATTTTATGAGAAAATCCCAGTATTTTTTTCAAGCGTTTTCGACTTTTTAGGCTACTTTCTCTTTGCATCAGCATTTCGTAGTTTTTTTATACTAATCATCAAGAGAACATGAACAATCAATATTAAAATTACATATTGATAGCCTGTCTTAAACATTGATATATAGATCAGATGATTTTCAGAAAAATCGATTTCTAATACTCATTTTTCCCTATGGCTTCCTATGGGAAAATCGACCCATCGCCGCTTTCGCAAAAGACTTTTCCTATCATAGTCAAATAAAACCCCAACTATTATATACCATTCGATAGAGAATTTCAAGAGCTACAAAATGATATATAAAATATTAGGAAACAAGAAGACTATCTCACCCATTGCAAAGGTAAATAGACAAGAAGCGGTTCCGTTTTTGTGTACGCTCCAATTGATCCCCAATTAGAACTCTATCTTCTGATCATAGAGGTGATAATCGAAGGTTTTCTGGAGCGGAGAACTAGAATCTGCACTAAACTTGCCTCGAAGTCCCATTGGTTGAGCATTGACCAATAGAAATCAAGTTATAGGAAAAACGACTTTCTGAGGCTAAGTAAAGCCGAACAGTTGAAATTTGAGCTGTATACGCTCCCAAGTCCTACTGGTTGTGCAGTAGGCAATGGAATTCAAGGATTTATAGAAAAGGTTTGCCAGGCAAATTTTTATATCCAGATATTCTAGGATGACCGATTTGTCTCATTTACTTTTTGAAGTACACAGAACTCTCGGATATAAATCCGAGATTTCCACATTTATTTTTCAATGTATTCGGGTTGCACAACATCACTAAGAGTAAATAAAGCGAAAAATTTATGTAATCGTAACGATACAAGTAGTTTTACAAAGTCCACATAAATTTTAAGAAACGCTCATCTTCTTTAAATGCATCTGGTTGAGTCATAAAATCCCGTAGTTATGTGTCAATATTAGGACTATAAGTGTCGTATTTCGTTGAAATTGCCTTTATTACTCAAAATTATAGATTACTTAAATGAATCCTATTTTCTGGAGGAATAGGTATGGCCATTTCGCTAATTTCATTGACAGTCATAAATAAAGTCATGAGCAGTGCATACTTTGATAGAGTCAGCGACTTGATACTTCAGTGAGCATCGCTGTTCCGGTGAACCCTGACACCAGTGCAGTCAGTGTCAGTGTATGTACTGGCTCAGTGAACATCAATGTCGGTGCAGATAGTGGAACCAGTGCAATCAGTGTCAGTGTATGCACTGATTCAGTGAACACCATGTCGGTGCAGACACTGCAACCGAAGCAGTCAGTGTCAGTGTATGTACTGATTCAGTGAACGCCAGTGTCAGTGTATGTACTGATTCACTGAACGCCAGTGTTAGTGTATGTACTGATTCACTGAACACCAGTGTCAGTGTATGTACTGATTCACTGAACACCAGTGTCAGTGTATGTACTGATTCACTGAACACCAGTGTCAGTGTCATCAGTGTACCGGTGAACGCCAGTGTGACTTTATCGGTGATCAGTATACTGAAACTGCACATCCCTAGTTAGGATATATTCAATCGACTACTCACAAAAGTTTTGAAAAATATCGAGAGTGACAGAAACAAGTCCTATATAAGAAAAACAACAAGTATCAAAACTCTTTGACTAATTTGTTCATGATCACTGTATCTAATAGTTTCTGAAGTACAGGCTGACTTTTGACTGCAACTGCGGAGAAGGAACAGGG